TGGGGCAAGATCCAGTGCCAAGACTCTCTGGGCCAGGGATCAGGGCCCAAGAATCCCTAAGTCAAGCCCACTCTGTATAGCGCCCCAAAATGGAAATGTGGGAGCTGAAGGGGGCACAGGGGGTATCTGGGGCTCCCCCTTCAGAAGCAGAGAAACTAGGAAGAAGAAACAGGCCATCCTTAGGGAAGGCTGAGGCCTTGGACCAGATATCCTCGGCTAACCTGGCCTCCTCTTCCTGGGGACAGTCCTAGCACTGAGGCTCAGGGGGTCCTGGGCACCACGCCCTGAGGAGCAGGAGGTGAGGGGGGAAAAAGAGGCCTGTTTCCACCCACCTCATGGATTTGCTTTTCTGTCTGCGAGCAGAGAGGACTTGGGCTACTCATCAGGAAGCACAACTGACGCCCGCAGGAGTCCAGAAGCCACAGTGGACCTCACAGGGACAGTCTGCTGAGCGGAGTCAACCTCAAATGTGACCCGGTCAGAAGGGCCCCCACCCCCGCCTGTTGTCCCTCACGGCAGCAGGTTTGGAGCACATTAAGTCCCCTGCCCGGGCAGGGGACTCGCCTAGCTCTGTTGGACAGAGGAAGGAAAAGGAACATTTTAAAAATAGCTAAAGCTTGGTGAGCACTTGCCACATGCCGGGCACGGTTCCAAGTGCCTGCTTGGCATGTACCACCTCGTGAAATCTCCCGAAGGAGGACCTGGCATCTCCCCATTTGAGGTGAGTGGAGAAAAGCCCTCGGCCCTAGACCTCAAGGTTCTCTGAACTGGAGGGCAGCCAGCCCAGAGAACTCAGGAAGTGGTTTTTCAGTTTTACTGAATTACCTAGAATTCGGCCTTCTTCCATTCCCGCCCCACCCAGCACAACCTTCCTTCTCAATTGCATAACAGGCTCTCAGATGTTTGAAGAGAGAGCAAGAATAAGATTATATCAGAATAGATGCATCTTTGCTATTAAAAATGGCTTTACGGTGCTTCTGTGGTTGAGGTAGAAGTCAGCTATAGCGGCTGGGACTTGGGGGGCATAGGCCAAATCCAAGGTCAGCCAAGACACAGTGGTCCATAGCCTCAGGGACAGACCAAAAAGCAGAGACAGTAGGAGGGAGTGAGAACGGTGAGGATGAGCGCAGAAAGGGCGAGAGGACGAGGGCTGTAGCAGGAACAGAGCTAAACAGGAGCCCCTTGAAAACGCCGGCACAAGCCCCTGCCACAGACAGCTCGTGGGGCCCCACACAAGCCCCTCTGGGAGGCGGCTCATCTGCTTGAAACCTTGCAACCGTCCTCCAGCCAGGCAGCATGTCGTGGGGCAGACCACGGAGTTTCCTGCCCACCCTCAGCCCAGTGCATGGGCTGGAGTCCTTCCTCTGCAGGCTTCCAAGCAGAGAAAGCTCCCCAGCCACAGCCCTGAAATCCCTCCTCATCGCAACTGAGCCAAGAATAGAGGGAAAATGGAACCCATTATTCTCATTCTGAAGGGCTGGGAAATGGCTTTTGCTTTTCAACATGAAATGTGTCTAAAAATAAGCTGTGAATTTCAACCAGAGGTTGAAAATAGCTTCGGCAGTGAACAGAGCTCTGTTCAGAGTGGGCTCAAGGATGGCCTTCATTCCAAGAGTGGGAGTTGAATGCCACAGTCAGGGCAGGGGTCCAGGGCAGGGGTCCAGGGGTCACAGGCTCACAGGGCTGCCCTTGCCATGGTCTGCCCCTCTGGCTTTAAACTGCCAAACTCTAATAGGCATGTGGTCCAGGATTCAAGATCCAGCACCTGGTCCAATGTGCTTCCTAAAATCCCCAAACGTGCAGGAGTGACTCGTGCGGCATTAGAATCTGAGACCCAGTGTGCAGACAGAGCTGAAGGGGGAGGGGCCTTCAGGTTTGAGAGCTCCTTGGGCACGGTGGTGGTGCTCGTGGGCTCTCTGAGAAGCCAAACCACCAAATCACTCACCAGGTACTACCGTAGAGCCCGGGAAGCCTGCAGGCAGGAAGGGTAAGAATACACTCCAAGTGTAGTGAAGAAAACCAAGTTGCTCAAGGTCTTTTTTTGTTGTTTACCATCACCCATGTAAGATTCCACAGTTTGATAAGCCAAACGACATTTCTACAAAATGGGCTTGTGTTAGAAAGTCAGGCTGAGAGACCTGGGCCACAGCTGCTGGGAGGGAGCCCAGATCTGGCCCATCAGGCAGGAGCAGAGCTCCAGAGTCCTCAGTGCCCCCACGAAGCTCCTCCCACCCTGACAGCCACGCCCGCATTCCCACCCTCCTCCTGCTGCTGCAGCAGCCCCCTTTCTGGGCTCACTCCCAGGCACGAGTTACTGCAGTGATTCTCAACTGGGAGCAATGCTGCTCTCCAGGAGACATCTGGCAATGTCTGAAGACATTTGTGACTGTCACAACTGGGGGTGGGGGATGCTACCGGCAGCTAGGGGGATGCTCCTAAACATCCTACAATGAACAGGATTTCTTTGGGCCAAGATTCATCTGGCCCAAAGAATCGACGTGCCGAGGCTGAGAACCCCTGGGTTGCTGGAAGGACGGTAATGTGGACAGAGCTAGATGGGTGGGAGCTCCCTGAACTTATAGCTCCTGGGCTCCCTGAGGAGCTGAGACACCCCGGCCGGCCACAGCAGTACTATCTCGGCGCCAGGGAAGCCCTGGGGCAGGACGGGCGAGACCATACTCGTCAGTTTGCCTTCCCAACTCAGGGGAAGACCTAGCCACTGAGCCATGCTATACTGACTAGCTTGCCTCAGTTTGGGAAGACGAAAAAATTCTGTGTACGATGGTGATGATTGTTGCCCAACAGTGTGAATGTACTTAATGCCACTCAATTGTATGCTTAAAAATAGGCAAAATGGTGGATTTTATGTTATGTATATAAAACAAAACAAAACAAAACAGCCTCCCCAGCTCTCCTCTTGACCTGGGAGTCCTGAGATCAGAGCAGCCCCTGAAAGGGTACACCGGTGGTATGCGTGTGTGGACATAGTGCGTCTGGAGGAGGACCTATAGGTCAATTCAGAGTCTCAAAGGGGCCTGAGACAACTGAGGAAAAAGCCCCAAAAGAAGAATGATTTCAGCATTAACAAGTCAAGTCACTTCATAGGTTAGCAGAGGTCAACTACATCACACGTGGGGTCCTCAGAGCCTGTGAGTGTATTCGGGTCCCATCGTGGAAATGGAGGCTTGCAAAGAGTGGAGGCTTGCAAAGAGTGGGTGCTTTACCTGGGACCACACAGCCAGAGCCCACACCCCTTCCCCAATTTAAGCCCCACGTGGTGATGCCCACTGGGCAGAGGGCCTGAGGGGAATACGGGAACAAATGGTTTTCCTGAGCCCGGCTGATGGTTCGAGCACCCAGGCCCTACCCTGCCCTGTCCTGCTGGCTTTCCCCACTCCACATCCTTCATCCTAGATGATCAGGCCCCGCAGCTATGGGAAGCAAGGGTGCCCCACACCCCGTCTCTGAGCTAGGGCTGAAGGAACAAGAGGCAGTTTGTCCAAGTTACTTTCTCAATAGCTACAAGAAAAGGAGCATGGGATTCTCCCCTTGCTGGTGATTACTAACCATTCCCAAGAGACAGGTGGCAGGGCCCTCCCCCAGGGTGGGAAAGAGCTTCCAGGCAGCCCTCTGCCACCTGCAGTTTCTAGCTTACTCAGCCCTGCTCAGAGGGACCAGCATGGTGGGTCCCCAGGTCCAGGCACCAGGCAGGCAACTAAGCCCCAGGTGTCTCCTCTGTGAACGAGAGGAGTAACTTTACCCACTCATCCTAATGAGGTAAGGAATATACAGGGCAGTACACATAAAGGCCTCAGCAGGGCCTGGCTTGCCGTAAATACCCAAGAGACAGGAAGCTGTCGGGGTGTGGGCGTGGACCCCAGAGGATCCCAGCTCCACAGTTTGGAAGATGCCTTTCCAGGTAGAAAATGAAACAGCAGCAAGCACACCACCGTGCAACCCAGCCACCCCCTCCCCGCGGCCCCCAACAAACCCAAACGCTGAGAACCAGCCACTCCTTAGCAAATGCGGAGGGAGAACAAAACCTCTGGGCCAAGGGCAACCCTTGGAAGAAAAGCTTTAAATCCCAACCTGGCCTGTTCCTAGAGGGAGCCCCAACACACAGGATGGGTCGTGGGTGGGGCAGGGCCCTCTGCTGGAGCCAAAGAAAGCCCCGGGATGGACTCAGAGGCTTCCTGGTTCTATTCTGGGCCAACCTTGACTTGCTGGGGACCTTGGGCAAGCCGTTTCCTGTTGTTCAGGCCAGTTTCCGCGTGTGGGAGAGGCCACACTGCCTCTAAGGTCCAGGAGGGAGAGATTTAAGCAGCCTGAAGCCACTGGAGCTTACAACCCTCACAGTTCCACCTCCTTGGCTTCACCGTTTATTTTAGCTAAAGCTGAATGTTACCTTATTCAGTGAGATGGTATCAGTTATCTTTTTTTCCCCAAATATTTGTCCAAAATATATTAACTATTTTAATTCAGGAACACTGAATGCCCTTTTACCAACAAAGGTACTAAAAATGGTTTGTGGCTGAGGAACTTCCTTTCCATGGTTAAAATAAAATTTTAAAAAAAAAGGAAGTAGGAACAACAGGGCTGGGGCCCTTCCCATTTGTCCCAGCTGTGGCTTCAGGCCCCACACCCTCTAGGAACCCAACATCGAGCTCAAGGCTCAGCAAAGGATATGGGTCCTTCCTTTCCTCAGGCCTCAAACAACCAACAGCTTACAGCATGGAAATAGTCCCCCACCAGACGGTACAGGGCCTAGGCACCCAGCAGTGTGTGCTAACAGCCTCTTCATGTCTTATGTGTTCATTCTAGATTTGAAACAAAGCACCACAGGCACTTAAGTTTTTGGTAAATGATGAGATCTTACCAGGGTCTCTTCCCTGGGACCGGCCTAAGCCTGCAGCACCCCTACCATCTCGGAGCCCAGTGCTATTCACCATGACCCAGCCCACCAGTCACAGGGCTCAGGATATGCCTATCAAGCCACTTACCAGAGTCCTGGAGGAGCTGGCCAGCGTGGCTGGGGGCCTCTGCACTCTTAGGACTTCTCCGTAATTGACAACATCAAAGTTACTCTTCCAAACCATTACCTGCCGAGACCAATAAGCACACAGAATCAGGGAGAGAAAAATCCCTTAACAGTCCTTCTCCATGGAGAAAATGGGCCCAGAGGCCACCCCCAAAGTTCTGGGCCAGTGGTGGGATTGTGATCCCCACCTGGCACCCCACTCCTTCTGGGACCTGCCCCATCTCTGAACAGGCCCCGAGAGGATCGGGCGCTCCACCAGGATGGAGAGTCACTATCACCACTGGGCCTCTGCACTGGCTGCTCCCTGGGCCTGGGATGTCCCAGGCCCAAGCTCTGTGTAGCTGGCACCTCAGGCTGAAGTGTCTGCTCTAATACCACCTTCTCAGAGAGGCCTTCCCTGGCCCTCCTGCTAGTTGTTTTCATAGCCCTCTATTTCTTTCCTTCAAGGCATCAGAGTCGGTATTTAGTTAATCTTTGTCCCTTTTCCTTGTCTACCATCTGTCTCCCCACTAAAATACAAGTTCCTTAGGGTGGGGGCCTGGCTGGCTTCACTGTGAGAAGTGGTTCAGGTACAGACTCCAGGCCAGACAACTAGGGTTAAGATCCTGGCTCCGGGACTTCCCTGGTGGTCCAGTGGCAAAGAATCCGCTTTACAATGCAGGGGACGCGGGTTCAATCCCTGGTCAGGGAACTAAGATCCCACATGCCATGGGGCAACTAAGCCCGCACACCACAACTACTGAGCTCACATGCCTCAACTAAGCCCGCATGCTACAAACTACAGAGCCCACACGCTCTGGAACCCACAACACAACTACAGAGCCCTCAGGCCACAACTAGAGAGAGAAAACCCACGCACCACAACTAGAGAGAAGGCCGCACACCACAACGAAAGATCCTGTGTGCCTCAACGGAGATCCCGCATGCCAAAACTAAGACCTGACACAGCCAAAAATAAATTAAATAAATAAATAATAAATAAATCTTAAAAAAAAAAAAGATCCTGGCTCCACCCCTTACTGTGTGGCTCTAGGCAAGGGACTCAACCTCTCTGTGCCTCAGTTTCCTCATCTGTGAAAAGGGAATGGTCATAGTTCCCACCTCACAGGGCTGCAATGAAACTCATAGGAGACAGTCTGGCAGAGACACTGGCCCCCAGGTAGAAGTCAGTAACATGTCCATTATTCTACATCCCACTGGGAGGATCTTCATGCCCTGAGGCTCCTCCAACAAAAGCTGGGCAAGAGCGCTCCCTGCTGGAGAGTGCGGGCCACCAGTGGCTGCACTCCTCTAGGGCCACTTCCAGGATGGCAGGAATTGTGAATCGTGGCCAGTAGTCAACTGAGGCCACAGAAAAACCAACGAATCCACATAGGATGGAACTTCAACGTGCCCTGGATGCACGCCCCATCGGGATGCAGCCACGAGCCTGGTCCTTTGGGAGGCTGCTCGCCACTCCCAGAGCAGCACCACTGTTCATTGCTCCCCAGCTGATGAGCATCTAGAGTCTCTCATTTGTCCCCTTTACAAAAAGAACATCGGCACACACCCCCTTGTTTATAGGGTCCTGTGTACTGCACAAGTCTAACTGCTGAATGGTCCTGAGCCGGGGAATGGCTATCAGGAATGTGAAGAGAGAATGTCAAATGTCATTCCCAAAAGGCTCTCAGAGCAGACAATCAGAAGGCAGCCAGGGAGCTGAGAGCAGCGCCTGCCCAAGGAGGGGCCAGGGTGGGGGAAGCCCTACTTCCTACCAGGTTGCCTCTTGTGCTATGTGAATTTCTTTTGCCAGGACTTTATTTATGGTGTGAATTTACTGTACTTGTTTCCCTAGTCTTCTGAGCAAGGAGCCAGGCCTCCATGCCCAGAGAAGGCTCAGGGGTTCTCTCTGCCCTCCTCCTGCCTTGTGTGGTCAGCACAGGAACCGGTGCTGGTATGGGAAGATGCCTGCCATCTCTTAGCCATGCTGTGCCTCCAACCGCCCTCTGCTTTACTGGCAGAGACTCAACCAGAATCGGTCCATCAGGCCGGGGCTGGCGCTCACTGGGAGGCCAGCAGCACTTTCCTGGGCAGAGCTGTCAGAGCTGTGAGGCCCAGGAGCAGTGGGATGAACATTCTAGGTGACACACCAGGTCACCAGTGGCTCGGAACAGCCACCCCTTCCTCCCTGCCTCAGGGAAGTGTGGTTTTCTGGACAAGTAGCACTGCACCAGAACCCGGAGAAAGATTTCCAATGGGTGGACACTTCAACAGCCCTGGAGCCTCCCAGGTGCCAGACTCTGGGCCAGACCCCAGGGACAGGGTGCCCCACAGGAGGCAGGTAATCAGGGCTGAGCAGTCTGGGCAGGAGGCACCAGGGTGGCTGACAGGGTGACAAGGCAGGACAGGAGCTCCTCACACATGTCCTCGTTCCGCAGCCTGGAGTTGGAAAATGCTGCCCCCTCAGACAGCACAGGAGCAAAGGACGGCAGACGGCAGAGTGCAGGCTCTAGCGCAGGCTCCAGCTCTGCTGCAGCCGAGACTCGGTTTCCTCACCCACAGAACAGCTGAAGAGAAGGCTTGCCCCACGCGGCTGCCCTGAGGACTGAATGAGGGGTGACGCTCTTGCCATGTTGCCCTCATTACCAGGCCCGCAGTAAGCATCCAAGAGTTATCTAATTATTCACCTATAATCAGGAGAAAGAAGTTCCTAAAAAACCGTTTTAACTTTCTCACGGCAACAGCAACCCAGACTTCCTACCCACTCTGGTTTGAGCTGTAAGGGCTTTGAGATGCTGCCATGCGTCGGCACCTGCAGCACTCCTGCTCTGGGGAGGCCAGGGCCCAGCTCTGGGGGCCCCACCCCAAGATCCAGGCCTCAAGATTGCTGAAAGCCACCAAGGAAGCTGGTGAAACCCAGCCTGTCCATCCCCAAGACACCTCGGCCCCCTGTTCTGTTCTGCTCAGTATCAGCTGAGACCCCTCAAATCATTCTTTACTTACTTGTTCATCAGAACCTCCAGAAGCAAAATACTCCCCCGTTCTTGAAAAGGCAACAGTGGTGGCTGGACCCTAGGAGAACAAGCCAAAAAGAGCAAACACCAAAGGTCACTCTAGATTCTCAATGCACAGGAAGAAACCAGAAGCTTGTGAGTGAGAGTGGCAGCAGGACTCAGGGCTGAGCACCTCATCCAGCCCATGCCCTCCCCCAACCTTTGGCGGAGGAACTGGCAGGTACCCAAGCATGAGCACTACTGCTGAGACTCTGGTCCCAAGCACCACTGACAGAAGCCGGGCCATGAGGTCAAGGGTTGGGCCGAAAGGAATGAGCAGGAAAGGCCACGCTGACAGCCCTACCGGACTGACATCACTGTCCTCACTTCCCAAGGAGAAGCCGGATGTCAGAGAGGTACACTGACCTATGCCAGGCCCAGCACTGGGGCCAGAACTCGGCCCCCCTGACCCAGACCGTGCCCCCCACCGCCAACACCACACTGCAGTTGACCAGAGAAGCACGGAGCCCCGTGGAGGAGCCAATGAGCAGAAGCAGGGCACTTGGGGAGCTCAGGCGAACCAAAAGGCCAGAACCAGGGCAAGGAGGAGGATGGGGTGGGGTTACTGAAGGTGCCTGGGCAGGGGAGCAAAGTGACATGTCCCTCTAATGGGCACATCCCTTCCTTCATGTTGGGGCCTTGGGAGGAGACATGCCACTCTGGCTTCTCACGTGCTGAAGGTCCACTGAACTGTCCGAAGGGTGATGTCAGGCCTGCACCTGGCCGCACCAGTGCGCACATTCAGGCTTGGGGCAGGGGGCATGATCTCCTGGTAAAGGGCGGGGGCTCTTCCCCAAACGCCTGAAACCCATTGCAGAAAGATGCACAGAGCAAGAGTCTGCTCGGCACACCACCACACTAAAAGTTTGGCCAAAAGGAACCATTGCTTCCTTTTGGCCAAACTGTTACTGCGGCAACACCTGGCATTCCCCAAGCAAAGCCAGATATAAGAGGTTCTCGCCTAGATGATGACAGTGCGGGCTCCATCAAAGGCCACCTCAGTTCCTCCAGAGCAGGACAGGGAGCAACAGGAGCTCCAAGAGCGAATATGACGGGCCTCCGGCAGCAGGGCTGACACAGCGGTGGACCCGTGGACAACAGGAATACTGGGAAGCACTTCCACTCGGCAGCAGAAAAGACTAGACAGGTTGTGGGCTGGAAAGGGACCCAACAACACGGAGCAAGGCCAGCTTCTGCCTGCCCAGAAGAGACAGGCAGGTTAGACAGAGCTGCCCCCTGGGCCCAGGCACACTGGGCAGGAGGCAGCACGTCTGCCCATGCTTCTGGAATCTACCCACGGCTCCTCCTCTCCGAGCTGCCCATAGTGGGGGTGATGAAGAAGTAGAAGGGGCCCGAAGGGGCTGGGCTCACAGCAGCCCGGGAGTCCTCTGCAGCCATCCATCAGGACAAAGGAGATCCATTCCCACTGACGGGGGAACAATGTCCACTTGCATAGGTGAGTGCGCAATACCAGGAGCGCAGCATCACGGGCTGCAGGCGCAGGGCCTGGGGGTAGGATGGGAGCAGGTCGTCTGTCACGCAGATACCCTCCCGGGTGGACAGTCACCACACACTGACAGGACTTAAGTGGGGGGAGGCAATTTCAGGTGACTTACTTGAGTCTTAGAAATCTCTGTAATTTCTCATACTTTGAATTTTTTAACGAGTATAGAGCACCGTTACATTAATACAAAAAAAAACAAAACTGTTCTCATTTTGAGGGAAAACAAAGAGGGAAGACAGAAAAGGGAAGGAACACAGTACGTGGAGTGTCAAAAAAGCCAGGCTCTCTGGCTGCCCAGAGCTCATTGAGGGATGGCAGGTTTCCAAGAAGTCACAGCAACTAAGGAACCAAACAAATATTTGTGGGTCAGTCTCCTTTCCTGTTGACACTCAACACCAGATGCCAAGCTGGGGACAAGATGTTGGAGGCCAAGCAGCAGCAGGACCACTGAAGAATGTGGCCAGCAGCCCAGTTTGGCAGGGGGATCAGGACCAGAAAGCAGGTGCTAGGAGCCCTCCAGGCAAGAAGAACTAGAGCCTTCCCCAGAGTCCAAGTCCCAGGAAACTCCAGGGAGGGGGCGAGCGACAAGGGCGCTCAGAGGAGCTCTTGAGCTTTGAGGCCTACAGTCCTCCTCCCCAACAGTGCCCGTTTACCAAGAGGACTGCGTGGCTCCTGCACCAGGTACCTCGGTGTTCCTGGAAAGAG